TATTTTCTTCCGACCCAAAAAAATCGAAATCAATTCAAACCCATCATAACTTTATCATATGTTCATCATATTTAACGTTAGTCTATACCGTACATGTTTAGATCGATACTTTCAAGATTTAGAGATGGAATTTTATTGTGATCAATGTTTTTTGTTTTGTAGCCATGATTTGATTTGCTTAGAAGCACTTAAGATTCGATAAATGAAAGTTTTTCAACTGTCTGAAAACATTGATACTTATACATCGTACATTGACTTCTAAACTTTTTCAGCCCTTTTTTTTTCGTTTGCAATGAAAATCTAATATTAAAAGAGTTTTAAACACGTTTGAAACAATTTTCAAATGAAATCATAAATAAATTTTTAGGGAAATTTTCAACATAATTTTTCGATAAAAATTATTTCTCAATTAAAATGACTAATAATAAAAGAAAAAAAAAGAAATTTCGAAACATATTGCGAGTGCAATTCTTTATCGATCATTTTGTTAATTCTACTTTATTATTTAAGTTATTGTGGACGATTCGATGGTCAGATTTAGTAACTGCACTTCATGAACTTTATCCATATTGGACAAATAAACGTATATCATATTTGATTATGGCTGCTGAAAGAGATTTACAACAATCATCAAAAGAAAGAAATGATTTAGAATTTCTATTATTATTTACGGAAGATGATGAAGGTCATATAGGAGAATTTTTAATGAATATACGTCAACAGTTACAATTAGATAAAACTGAATATATTGAAAAAATAAAAGATTTACTTATTGGATATCCGTAAGTTTCGTTTGTAATAACAAGAGAGATCTTTTGAAATTGTTTTTTTTTGTTTTTGTTTTGAAGACTAGTATCAATTAATCAATTCAAACAAGTTGTACAACTTGTTGATCCAAATATATCGAAAAATGAACTTCAAAGATATGTCAATTGGGTATTTGAACTGGAAAAGATGTCATTAACATTAAACAAGGAAGAAATATCATCGAAAACAAATGAAAATATTCAATTAATTAAACCGATACAAAAACGTAATTTTGAAGAGATTATTCTTCGTTTAGAACGTTGTTCTTGTTTTATGCATTAGTTCAATAAAACTAATAGTTTCTATAATGAACTTAACGACATAAGAAAATTTAAACTTCTATGATTTCATGCAATATTGCGCCTCTTTTCTTCAGTAATAAATGTACACATAACTATGACCTTCAATCTTGGTGTGCCTCTTTTTCTCTTCTACATCAAGCCATTAACCAATGACATCAAGAATTATATACACTTCACCTTTTCATTGCTTTTTACTCAAGTGCTTCGCTAAAATCATGATCGAATTCATCAATCGATTTCTGTAATCACAATCACACTATATATATATGCATCATCATGAAACATTTGATGTAAACTTTCTCATTCAGCTGCATCATAATATGATACATCAATAGCGTCATCAATTGTGTATTTTTCTAATTTTGGAAACTCAGAGAAATATTCAATGATGCATCTCATTGTATGAAATTGCACAGATTTTTGGCAAAGTCTTATATATATGTTCATGTGGAAACAGTTCAGAAAATATAATAGCAAATAAGTATGTTAAAGCTGTAGTAGAACATGAAAATGTCTATATCGGTCTGCATATATTCTTCAGAGGAGAAATGCAGGACATTCTACAACTTATTCATAATCAATCAATCAAGTAATATTATAAGAATAATTGGAGAAAAAACTTAATACAATTGTATGATCTTGATTAAAGATTCAAACTACAGAAAAACTAAAAGACGCACCTGTTATAAATTATACATACATGTTAAAATAATATATTAATATTAAACAGTTTGTATCAATATGAAAATATCATAAATGTCTTTTTAAGTTTTTCAAGTTTCTTTTTCTCATACTTTAATATTCATTTAGTTAGTGCACCACCAAGCTTTCGAACCAGTCCAACAGCCAGCACTATAATTTTTACAATTCTTTGGTGCAACTTCTGTGAAAACATGTGAGCAATAACCTGCACAATATTCTTGACATAATGATATCGTAATCACCATTACAATTACAAATATGAAAAATATTATCATAGATTTGTTTTCAGTTGCAATCAAATGTGTAAAAATCTAAAAATTACAATGAAAAAGAGATATAACACATAAAATGAAACTGTAGAAAAAAAGAAAGTTCACAGTAGTCAGGGATAGTATTCGAGAAAAGGAGAGATAAAAACTGTTTGTTGGTTCTTTAGTATTAGAAGCGGATCAACCGATTCTCGATACCTGAGATTTATTTCAAAAAGGAAAGAAATATCGAATGTACCAAAATATATGTAAGACAATGGTAAGAAATAGTGCTAAACAAACAGTAGCCTCTGTACACAACAGTTTGCTTAATGTTCAATATAAAATTTCGTTAAGACTCACCATTTTTATTATAATGGTACATTTAATATCTCTTCCTTTTCTGAAATAAATCTGATATTTCGAGAATTGGTTCATTGTCTTCTCTAGTACAGAACCGACAGGTAGCAATTATTTCTCAAAATTCCGCAAACTTTTTATGACTATTGTAAACTGTCTTATTTCTGCAGTTTCATTTAATGCATTACATCTCTTTTTCATTGTAATTTTTAGATTTTTACGCATTCGATTGCAA